GTTGAACAACAACCAAACCAAATGTCTATTTCTCTCGTCCTCGTCAGTCTAATTTCATGTTTAAGACCGTGGTGGGCACAGCATAGATAGCCCATTGTATACCTTTGTGTTGAACAACAACCAAACCAAATGTCTATTTCTCTCGTCAGTCTAATTTCATGTTTAAGACCGTGGTGGGCACAGCATAGATAGCCCATTGTATACCTTTGTGTTGAACAACAACCAAACCAAATGTCTATTTCTCTCTCAGTCTAATTTCATGTTTAAGACCGTAGTGGGCACAGCATAGATAGCCCATTGTATACCTTTGTGTTGAACAACAACCAAACCAAATGTATCTTTCTCTCGTCCTCGTCAGTCTAATTTCATGTTTAAGAGTTTTTATTGTCTAGGGAAGCCTCGTATTTGTGTCTTAGTATAAAAATGGTTTCTTTAATATTTGTTATTCGTTTATAGGTAGGCGAGCTAACGTTTAAAGCAAATTAACCAAATAGATAAGAGATAAAACTAAAATAAAAATTGCATCTCACACAGCATAGTTTGGGTTAGTTTCAGACTAGAATGTCAAAACTTTAATTTTCTTTTCAGTTCGTTATGTATATTCCAAATTTAATTCATCAATAATTGTAAATCTTTTGAATTCCTGGTATTTTCATGAAATTCAAGGAACTAGTTGTTTTGACAGGTACACCAGAGTTCATGGCTCCAGAAATGTACGAAGAGCAGTACGACGAATCAGTTGACGTGTATGCTTTTGGAATGTGCATGTTGGAAATGGTCACCACGGAGTACCCCTACTCCGAATGTAGCGGGCCTGCCCAGATTTATAAGAGGGTAATAAGTGTAAGTAGATTCACTAACTATATGTTGAAAATTCGTCAAATACCATTTGTAAAACTCATGTTAAACCTAGAGATAAGGAATGATAAAACTGCTAAAGCAATAATCTTTTATTATTATAGATATATATTCATAACTTTAGAGATAATTAATTGAACTGATTGTTGAAACATTGGTTTACTTTACCGTAGCAGATAAATTAACTTCTATTTAAGTACATACTTTTCAATTGAACAGGGTATCCCACCTCAAAGTTTTCACAAGGTGGAGAATCCCCACCTTCTGGAGATCATCAGAAACTGCACTCAACTGAAGAGAGAACAAAGGTGATAAAGACCGTTTTCTTCACATTGTTGTTTGTTTTATTCGCGGGTTTTAGCCTAACATGTGAGTTGTTTATAAGAAAGTAAATGTTGATGGTTCCCAGTAGCAATTGTGTTCTTTAATTTGGTTCATCAGAATTAACTGAGAACACACAGTTCAGTTTTCAGTAAGATACATCGGAATCTGAGAGTTCTATCATTCATGGTTAAAACCAAACCTCCACAAACAATTTGTTTGATGCCGTACAAACATATATATGCTTAAATTAATAGGGAAACTTATGTTTAAAATTGTTATTAAATACAAATATAGTATATTTGGTTTTCTTATATTAAGAAAGAAAGTAGGTTAATGGAAACATAATAAACCCATACAAAAACTCCAATAGACAAAAGGAAGGATGGCTGTGGAGAAAAAGAAACAAGTAAAGTACACCCTACTGTACAAATCTTGAAATCTTACACAGTAATCACTTTGTTCAATTACATGGGGCCTTGCTTCATCATTTTAGGTTAAGCTACATTTAGAGTACTGTGAGATCTGTACCTTAAGATTGTTGGATAGGGTTCAGATGAGAGCTACTAGGATGACCCGTGGGATCAAATTGTTTGCTTTTGAACAAAGATAGTTAGAGAGGATCTGATGCATGGGTGAAGATAGAAATCCGTCAAAGTTTCAAGGAATGGTTACAAAACATGATTTAAATTTTATGTGAAATAAACACATTATATTGCTAAAACTTTTCTAATGTTTATTTGTCTAAAGTTCTAACCATTTGCATTTGTACCGGAAAGATTATAATTGGTTGATTCGGTTGTATATTGCTATTTTTTATGTACAGCTGAAGTTTTTAAAAATGAATTGGTATACATGTAAAAGGTTTGAGTATTATCGTTTGACAAGTGTAACTAGTTTTTTTGTGATTTCAGGTTGGTCCATCTAGTAACATAAAGAGTTGTAAGTGATTTCTTTTTTTTTTTTCTGTAAAATTAAATTGAAAGTTGATCGTGAAAGTTGTTCAAAATGGCTCGGAATGCATCTAAGAAAATGTACAACCCCAAAGATTTTAGGGGCATCTTAAGTCAATAAATTTGTTTCATTCATGTGATTGAGGTGTTGAAGATTGTTAAGGAATTGGCGGTGTTGAGACATAGTCTTTTTTCATACTTAATGGTGAGAATGGTAGGACTAGGGGACAAAAATATAAATATTGGCAGAATATGGATCATCTTCAGCTAAGATAGCTTTATTTTTCTAATAGGGTGGTTGACTTTTGGAAGGGTTACCTTCAAATATGGTGGATGCAGTTAATTTAAGAGGATTTAAAGGAAGGCTTGGTAAATACTGAATGATAAGGACCGGCTTTGGGTGTTTTATTTTAATTTTAAAGATTTTGGATGGGATGGTCTAGATGGACTAAAATGTGTGTGTTCAGGACCAGTGGTTTTTATAGTTTGTGTATGCAAGGCAAGGCTGTCCTTTTGTGAAACTCGTATCTCTAGGTAGGATTGACCAGTTGACTCGTCGTGGAAGTGAGAATAGAAGGTGGGTAAGAAATTATTGTTCATGTTATTACCATATTAACTACCACTAACGAGTAAATAATTTTAAGGAGAAGAAATGGAAGAATCGAGATATATATAAGTGGTAAAGAAATATAAATATTTGAGATACTTTAAATGTAACGTGGAGTAAAAGAATGAGAAGTAGAACGAATGACAGCTCTTTGATATGTTAGTTGGTAATGTATCAAGTAGAAATATGGATCGGGAGTTAAACTGGGACACGAATGGAGAACTGTCTTTTGAGGATTCAAGCCATTGGAATTTCTAGTCAAATCCCAATTTAATCGCTAAAATTGATGCTTGAAATAGATAGAAATACGCCATATTGTGTATGATACTTAAAAACAGGAAGCCTGAATAGGGGAATAAAAGAACTATACATAAAAAGTAGAATAAATAATGAGAATAAAGACCAAGCAAATTGATGAGTGCAGTAGAACAATCTACTTATTGAATACATTATAAAAAGTTGGACCAGAATAAGATACAGAAAATGGAGTCAAAAAAGTCATATATGTATAAGATGTGAAAAAAAGAAAAGTACAGCCCTGAGTAATCGAACAAACTGATTATTGTCTGTGTCGTGTTAGGATTTCAGTTATGTACTAAGATTTCTATTTATGTACAGTATGTTCACAGCCTTACGCTTTTTCTTTGTGTTATTTGTCTATTAGGATTTTGTATTGATATACATGTCCATAAATTTATCTTGCTATTTTAATAAACACTTGAGCTGTACATGCTAGAATTCTGGCATCTCTTGAAATCACATATACCATGATAACAGTCTGTTAGTTATTTTTAGGCCTACTGTCAAAGAGCTTCTCCAGTTGGATTTTTTTCAAGAGGAACTTGGTGTAAAGGTTGAGTTTGTGAACCGAGAAAAAAGTTTGATTAGCACCGAGTCAAAAGTGGAATTGCGTCTTCAAGTATTGGATCCCAAGAAACGAAAAGACAAACACAGAGAAAATGAAGCAATTCAGTTTGAATTTGATGTTGAGTCTGATAATCCGGATGAAGTAGCTCAAGCAATGGTGTGTTAATTTGTTATATTTACAAAGCTTATATTTCTATATATACACTAGCTCATCACATGACTGTAAATATTGGATAAAGTTTCTTTTGAAAATTCATGATATTATTATAACAATATATATATATATATATGAAGAACGTTTATGCTTTTTCTAATATTTCAGGAAAACTATTTTAGTGTATATTTGTTTATCTCCTTTAAGGGGTTCTTAATTAGAATTTGACTTATCTATATTTTTATATTCTCTTCAGATATTCTTCTTGATAAAACCTTGTAGATTGAACCATGCGAAAAAACTGGTTCTCGAGAAAATATTCCTACACGGTCAAATGTCTGACCCTACGATTTATTAATTGCTATGACAAAGGAAGTGAATGTTATTGTGAAGGATAGATGCACGAAGGTACAACTTTTGACTAAATTTTTAAAAATCTCTTACCAAGGTGAAAAACATGAATAATAATGATTATACAGCCATCTATTGGGATGTTTTGACACATACTGTCACTGATGTTTAATATCTTATTAAATATATTACGAACCGTGGTGTCTGTCCGAGTGTTCGTCTGTCTCCCTTCTCAACATTCACTTTTAAAATGACAGGAGAACAGACATGAATAATGTTGATGCCAAATTTTATTTCACAAGCAGGATATTCTACACTGAATTGTTAGGAATTAACGTTTCAAAATGTGACGTAACGTAAAGAATAAAAATGTAGATTTACCTATGTTATTGTTGAATGGCTCTTAGCAAGACTGAAATGTTCAACAATTACTTTTCACGGCAGGAGTATAAAAAGTTCATAGCTTTGGCTCCGAGTGAAACCAAGATTGCAACACAATTAACCTTTTTAAAGTCCATGAAATAATTTAAATTGATAGATAAGTTAAACTTTTCGTCACTGGGGACATGTTTGCTTGTTCTGAATTTCGCGCAAAGCTACACGAGGACTATCTGCGCTAGCCGTCCCGAATTTAGCAGTGTAAGACTAGAGGGAAGGCAGCTAGTCATCACCACCCACCACCAACTCTTGAGCTACTCATTTACCAAAGAATAATGGGATTGACCGTCACATTATAACGTCCCCACGGCTGAAAGGGCGAACATGTTTGATGGGACGGGGATTCGAACCCGCGACCCGCAAGTTGCGAGTCGAGTGCCCTAACCATCTGGCCATGCCAGGCTCTGGGGACATGTACTTTTGCTAGATTAATTTAAACAATTCCATCGCTGGTGACAGGTACTTTACTTTTACTTGTGTAATATGATATTATCCGTGATTATATCTATAATTGCATTTGTATTTTTTCTAATATTCAGAGAGGTTTTTTGTAGATATGATAATATATACTAAAAAAATAAATATAAAATCCCAACATTTCTTGAATTTGAACGCGAAACTCGCTCATGATAGTCGAGTGCTATAAGCACTGTGACCCCCTAGTCTATGTGATCGAAAGTTAGCAAGTTATTAAAATCCCTGACGTAAAGTATCATGTTATTGTGGTTTTCCTAAAATTGTAATATCTGCTCTAAAAATGATGAGCTAATAGTTAAAGAAGTTATACAAAATCCCCACTCGACTGGAAATTGAACTTGTGACTTCCGCTTAAGACAAACCACAGAGTCAATTTGAGCGTTACCAACAGAGAATCAAGTGTTACTGACAAAGGCAACCTTACGAACAGAGAGTGGTTTTCATGTATATATGTGTGGGCGTGTGTAATAATCCATCACTCTATGGAAACAGGTAGAACAAACTGTTGTCACTACTTTCGGCACTTTTTTATAGTTTTTACAAGTTTAAAAAAAGTTATTTCTACTTATTAACAATATAAGTCAACTATTGTAAAAATCTAGTTTATCATGTAAAATTCAAAACAAGTTCATTCCATTCTTCAAAATCTCTTATTTATCTTGTATGCCTTATAACTATTTAATTTCCGTTTCTTTCAAATTATTTAACTTGTTTTAGTTAAACCATTGTCTTTATGAATAAAGCAGTAATTTAATGGATGGATTTTCTCAGCAAATGAGTGGGATTATAACGGAAGAAGATGTGAGGATAGTTGCAATGGTAATTAGAAATCAAACTGCTACTTTTAAAAAGGAGAAAAATATCCATCTTAAAAAAAAACTGAAAGAATCCCAGCCTTCTCAAGAACTCCATGCTCCTCATCAATTGCATCTGGCTGAACAATCAAACCAAGAAATCTCTCAACCTCAACAGTTTCAGCAACAAAAACCACAGGAATATAATATAAATACAGTATCATATCAACAACAGCAGCTGAGCCAGTTACAAGAATCCCAGAGGCAGGAGAAACAACAAAGACTTTCTCAAGGACTTGAATATTGTTGTAAGCTATATTTTAAATATTTTAATTTAGATGTTTGTTTCCTAGAGGGAGTATATCAAGGCAATATGAAGAAGATTTATGTATTAAGTAGAAATAAGAGTACAGTATAAATACTAGACTCAGTGTCAATTAGTAAGTTATTCAGTTCAGTGTTAATTAGAGAGTTAGTTCAGTTCAGTGTCAGTTATGGAATTATTCAATTCAGTGTCAGTTAATGAGTTATTCAGTTCAGTGTCAGTTAGTGATTCAATTCAGTGTCAGTTAACGACTTATTCAGTTCAATTTCAGTGAGTTACTTTATCTGATATCTCTAAAGCGAAGAATATTTGTGTAATAAATTGTCAGAATCACAATAAACAATACATTTACTGTTATATGTCTTGATTTGTGACATATCTTTATCTTCCTATTCTTTGATAAAGAAATAAAGGTATATTACACTAGTAAGACTAATTGTTTCATAATATTTGTTTTATATAACATGCAGTGTTAGGCTAGTGTAGTATTTATAAGCTGATGTATGTCTCAGCTGTGTGCCTTGCCTTTGTATTAATAGGTAAAATTATCAAAAAATATTTGTCTTTCCAGCTTTAGGTACACCTGAAACAGCCTCTCACCTTTTTACTGGAGCAACAGCTCATTCAACAAGCCATCCTATAACTGAATCTCAACAAGTAAGCTACTTATTATTTGGATCTAAACTGTTTAAACATTGGAACTAAATAGGTATAAGGATGACTTAAATACCCTAAATTGTGACTTGTGTATACCATGAATTGTGACTTGTGTATGCCACGAATTATGACTTGTGTATACTGTTACGCCTCTGTGTTCGTTTGTTAATTTTCCGTAAAAATTCTTTCCGAAGAAACTTTAGCGATACAAGTCCTTTCTTAAATAAAACTAGTTTATTCTTTCTTAATACAACTTTGCAGAACACTTCATTTCCACAGTCACGCTATACCTTAAACAAATGCTATAATTCCCAACAAACGATTCACTGCTTGACTCAATTGTCCGTCTCTATCTTTGTCTGCAATTCAATTCCATTGTTGCCGTCACTTCTTGGAGTCTTATATACAAGAATACTGCACATCTAGTAAACACTCGAGCATTCAAGAACCTTCGAGAATATCATGACGTGTTACTGGCGTCACGTGACTTCCGCTGTCGTAACACTGCCCCTTCCTTAGTATTATTCGTCCCGAACAATAGACACTTGCATTAAACC